TTTTTTTTTTTTGTTTCATTTTATGAGATAATTGAAATTCATCGGCATACTTTTTAGAGAACCATAAGAGTTGTAATGCATTGTTTGAAAAGTTTTATAAACAAGAGAATAACCATTATTTTGCCAAATGTTTGCTAAAATTTGAAACGTTTCTTTATTTTTTTGCATATCACTTTCAATACTTTCGATATTTACGTTTGCTGTCAGGTTATTCATTTATCACTCAAAACCTCAACCTCTTTCTGTCGCCAAAAGAACAAGTTGTTACTTCTGCAGTTAGACCACGTGCAAATTTCAAAATTGTCAAATAAAGTTCCTCCTCCAGTAAGCTAAATTACACTATACAAAAACTCGAAACTTTTAAAAAATTTTTTCATATCTTATATGACAGTTTGATGTGTATCCATACCCCACTAAGAATTTGGCTACTGGAATAGCTTCCCTGCGCTTCAAAAGAATCGAAAGAAAAAACACTCTGGAATCAGCAAAGGTTGCTTTAACACCGCTATTCACTTTAAACATGAGAGAAGCGTAAGAAATACACGTATAATCACTGTTTTTGTCCCTTAATTTCAATATATCAAGGTAACTTGTTTGCATCCTTACAACTTCCAATACGGCAGCCACAGCGCTGGTTGTACACCTATCAGTGAGGGAGACGTAATTGTAAGACCCTATATTTTCATTCACTAGAAATGCTAAAGATTTTTCCAATGTTTTCAAACTTTTTTTGGGCACTTCTCAAAGAACAAAAAGATCGCTCTTTTAATTCTAAGGCTAGTGTAACTATGAATGATTAGGAAAAAGGAGGTTGAAAGCATTGAAATGCTCTTGTTCGGTGAAATCAATAAACGCAAAATTGTCGTTTATTGGAGCCAAATAACGAGCGTACAAGGCAAAGATTTCTCAGGCTTTCATATTCTAAAAAACATCACATGCTTAAACAACTTTCTGAAGGGCAGGCACCGCATAATAATCAGTGGAACACACAAAAAAATCACTGTTTTCTCTTTTTATTCACCTCGTAAGACCCATCCGACATTGTGCGGTAATCGTTAGCGAAATATATGGAAGACATTTAAAACCATTGGCGTTCATCCCGACAAATATATACTAAAACTGCAGTTAATACACGAAAGATTAGCATAACCCCTCAGCCAGGAAGACACAGAAACTCACGAAGCACCCAGGACCAATTCTCTTTTCAACTTCTACCACAATTTATATTTGACAAATGTCCACCATCATTTGATGAGAGAAACATATCCAACTTGAAGTCAGACCCTTCCTACGCCAGTCTGAGACAAATCAGATCAACTGTCCCAGCAGCTCTGCTTCAAAACCAGAATCAAATAAGCTGCATCAAAAGCCAGTTTCAAACTAGACATCTACTCCTTACCAGCTTTCCCCAGCACCTACATTCAGTTGTTTCCCAAACATACAATTCGATTGGCCTTCTAATCAGAAAAACGTAAACAGAAAAAACAATTAAAACCACCAATTCTCATTGTTTGCAAAAATTACTTTTATTTCAAATCAGCAACATTTCGTTCATTTATAAACTTATATAAGAGGCGTCCAACAGACTAAGAACTATCAATAAAACTAAGTTCACCACTGTTACAAAAACAAAGTTAGCAGTATGACAGGCAACACAATAATACATTATGTCTATATGAAACTATATAGCCTCCAAACATTTGACGGCCATTTCGCACAGCTCTTTAAGAAACTTCAGACGGTCCAAAGCAAAACCCTAGCTAGAGAACCTGTATTCTGTTTCAAAAACGGAAACAACTATGTAAAACTCATCATTCCTGAACAAGAATGTTGTCAAAAAAAATTTAATCCATAAAGAGTATGGCAATAACTCAACTGCATTTGGCACGTGGACGAGAAGAATCAAATGCATTAAAGAATTTCTTTACGCCACAATTCCATGACTTCTCAATACGCTCTCCCATTTCCGAAGTTGAAGGTAGCTGAAATGCTAAAAAAAAGTTAAAACACCATTAAAAAGAGAAACAGAAGACAAAAATCAACCTAAAACCATTTGGTGGGTAGGATGCATAACCTTCTAAGAAAACCCGGAACTACGTGAACAAGAAAACTAAACAGTTTTATTCAAAAAACTAACAATAGCTGAACACATGTGATTGTAAGAAGACTTCCTATTCAACTATAAAGTTTATTTATTAATACTTCCCTAAACAAATTTCTCAAACAAATTGGATGTGTTTATAAAGATAAACATTTTTTTACTCACAGAAACCACAAAAAGATAATTTATAGACTGTAAAAAAAAGAAAAAATTTATAAGATAAACCCAACTGTAATAAACTCCACTAGAAAACAATATGACATACTAACTTTGAAAGATACATTTGTTGCAATTAAATATCCATCCAACCTCAAATATTAGTCTAACTTTGTAGTTAATAGTATTTTATACTACCCTTTACTACTAATAGTTAGTTTAAGCTACAGGACAAAGAGAATGTAATCATATACGTTAGAGAACACTTGTAGTCCTGGCATAATTGTTTTCTGTAATCGATTATAGTTATCAGCTCCTTTACCAGTATTTAAAGACCATATATCATAATCTAAAGATAGCTTAACGGCGGCATAAACTACTCCAATTTTTATTCCAGCCCTGAAATATAGAAAACGCCAACTTTCTTAAATGGATTTGTAACGTCAGAACCTAATACTGATTACAAGAACAGTTTTACTTATCCGACAAATGGCTGACTTCCCATTTATTAACTCAAATTAAAACAGTCGTCTTTCACGCATGGGAGGAAAAAAGGGAAATGAAAACAAAACAAAACCATAATTCCATGTTTAGAATTTAATATTAGAAATGCACCCTTGCGCCTGCAAGAGCAAGAAGCTCAGTCAGTTTTTTTTCAACCAGCATCAAAAATAACAAAAAAGTAAACAAAAAGAACAGGCTTACTTCGTTAACTTCCAAACGAAACTCATAATTAAGAAGCAAATAGCAGCAGCGACTGATTGTCGACATACAAAGTTCGGCAGGCAGCAGCAGAAGCGCAGCTGTTGGGCTGCGTAAAAAGTTCGACTGTTGTATATGAGCCCACGTGGGTCCTCACGTCACAACGGCTTTTTGTAAAATTCGAACGGATTTTGTGCGAAACGTTATACTAAAGAAGTGAAGTAGCATAACTTGAAAATTGTTGCTGGCTTGTTTTTGCGAACTCCTCCAAGTCACATGAGTGCAGTACGCGATGAATGAAAGTAAAAACCCGGGCGATGTTTGGTGGTCACCCTCTCTCTCAGTACCCTTCAAGCTTTGAAACGCCACTTATATTTCTAAATACACATAAGTACAGATCTGCATAAGATACCCAAAGCAGCTTTCAAGTGTTTAAATAAGTATCATGAATATCTAGTTCTTTGTCACTACCTATCGGTACCATCTCTAACCTTAAACTTTTTCAAAAATCTCTTTTCTTCCTGACTATTAATCTTTTCTATGTGGTGATTTTTGTGAATCGCTCTTCTAAATTTGTTCAAGAACAAAAAAAAAGCCAACGTAAATTTCATATACATATTACTCCAACTTATACTTCTGAACTTTCGCAAACCTAAGGACTTTACAACTTAACGGACGGCGGTCCCCAAAAGTTTTCCTAATTCCAGCTCAGCAAAAAAACTTTTAGATGGCTTCTGGATAAATTTTCGGATCAAACAGTATGCCGCACAACTTGCTTCTTTCCTGTACTGGGCTAAAATGCAGACTGACTGAGAAACAACAGTCAGCCTTATTTTTCACACAAGCTTTACAGCTGCAACAACAGCCAAGTGAGTTGAGTTATGTTGGGAAACTGCCAGCCAACAATTAGACCCGCGAAGTCAAACCGTTGTTGCCATAGTTACAGCCAACAGGACTTGCATAAGAAAGCCATATAGCTGACCAGCGGCAAATAAAAACATTCATTATTATTACCACCATTTAGTCCCCGGTAACCACTTCGCCCGACGTCTGTCCTGCAGAAAGTTCCAAGCACTTGAGACTACGAGTTTAAAGCCTTTTTAGCTTTTATTAGAGAATATCTTGAGACAACAGGGGAAGATATGATTTTTTGTTCCGATTCTGTTGAACAAAAGCGAGCATGACTGCAGAAACGCTGAAAACCATTGTCAAAGGGTTAAATGAAGAGCCTTTTAACATGAAATTAAATTTCATAAACTTTGATTCGCTATCATCAGAAAATCTTTTACAAATCCTAAGTGATGCTCTTTGTTGGATCGGAGGAGTGCCACCAGTCGAAATAGTGCAAGAAAGTGCTGAAGATACTGCACTAAGGATTTTCGATATGTTGCGTGTATTGAAATATAAGCCCCCGGCAAATCTTGAACAACTGTAAGTTATTTTGCTATACCAATTGTATTTGAACTTTATTTCAAATCTAATTAGTAGTGTGACTCAATATTATAGCCGTCTTTACCTTCTCAAAGTTAGTGACAGGTCCCAGTGCAAATGATGATAGTTTTTTGACAGCACACAAGCTGTTATCAGCAGTTTGGCAAACTTTTTGGCGGTTTTCAATAAATAGTTAACATTTCGGTCTACCGACTGATTTCTATTTCGTATTGCTTAGAAAAGTGTGGAACTGCAAGGTTTTCAAATTGCGAAGTTAATAGCATAATTCAACAAGCTTTGTGTTAAGTTCCATTTTTCAAAAGACCATCCATACAAACGGAGTTAAGTGATTCAAATTTGTACAATATGCAAATAATTCAAAATTTTTTTTAGTGTATAATTAGTTTTTCAGCTGCACTTTACGTTCATGTTATTTAAGGCAGGAATGGCGAAAAGGTATAGTGGAAGGCGAAAAAGTGGCAATATATCCAATTTTAGAATGGATTTTCAATAACTGTGAGAAATTGAAAGAACGAGCCTATCTTGCTAAATATTTAGTCAAAACCGATATTCCCGGTAAGAGGATACGCAACATAGTTGTACTAAACAAAGCAGGCAGTGTTAACACATGGAGTTCTAAATTTTTCAATGGATTTTAGGGGAATTCCAAGATGTGGAAACAGCTGAGTTAACAAATCAGATTAATGCGTTGATGGAAGACTTCAAGGCAACTTTATATTCTACTATTTCAGGCGAAACTAATCAAAATTTTATTTCAGAAAACTTGCAAAACGGTACAAGCAATGGGGATTTCAACAATAATATCGTTATTTTTCAGAATATTCATAGTCGAGCTGCAGAGACTCGGAAAGATACCATGCTGGTAGATGACATACGAACAGACTTGAAAACTATGGAACAGGAAAAAGAATACTTGTTGAAAAAGGTTGAAAAAGCTGAAGAGAAGTTGCGTAATGTACCAAATCTTCAAAAAATTCTTGATTTAGCCACCAGTATCAGACTTGAAAATCGTCGTCGAGACATACTGACGCTTCAAATACAAGAGCAGACTAATGTGGTGTGTCCCCTACCTGACTCTTTTGTTTTCATTTGTTGGTTCGACTAACATTTTGTCCTTCATTGGATGCTAAAAACGGATGTAGTCAATTCTTGAGATTAATTTGCTATTTGTCGGCACAGACCAATCACTGCACTATGAAGTTGCAAAGATTACATACTGTATTAGACGAACTGAAAGGCGCTGGAGCTGAAAACGCAGATCCGAATGTTGTACTCAAACAACTGGAGGTCCTTTACGTCCTAGAAATTTTTCAGTTTACAAAACTATGCTAAAATATCATTACAGCGTCCATAGTGTATCACCATTTCCTAAATGGCTAAGAAAATCGCTTTTTGTAGGAAGAATTGCAAACGAGTCGATATATTATAGAAGAGAAACTTCCAAAAGAAATAGAAGCTAAGCGCGCCATAGTAATCGAGCTGTCCAAAATTGCTGATATACCGGCGCTGAGTGAGAATGACATTGCAAATATTCAGAGGAAGGTATTCAGAACAAATAACTTTTATTCTTTCAAGAGATCCCTTATGATGGATTATTTCAGTCAACTTTGACAGATCTGCTCTGTTTATCTCACAACATCTTTTCTACAAAAAAACCTTTCAGTTTTTGATATTCTTAGATTCAAGCGGTTAATGAAGAAATGCTAACCTTAATGAACGAGAAAGACGCTGAAGACAAAAACACAAACGAGCTTTCCGTATATCGTCATCAAGAAATTGCTATAAAAAGAAAAAAGGCAGGCTTAGTTGAAAAGCTACAAAAGAATCGGTAAGTTGATTCTGCCAAGCTGTAGCGTCCTCCCAAAGTATTTTATTTCGAGTCATTACAAATCTTACGCGTTGACCATTACCAAATACAAATAGTCTAGGATCGACTTGGAAAAGCTGGAAAAGATTATTGAGGAAAAAAAGAATGAACTTAGAACAAAAACTGGAGAGTCAGACATTATAAGCAGTGCTGAGGTAACGTTTTTTTCTGAATAAACATTGTTGTTACCACAGTAAAAGAATGCAAAGTTTTTTTTAAGAGTCGTGCAAATTGTCTTTCACTTCATTTGCAGTTTAAAAAATTTGCGGTTTCCGTTCGTGGAAAAGCAAACACCTTTAGAAAACTCCGCGACAATATTGACACTTTGAAAGCTGAACAACTCATAGTAACAGAAACAAACCATATCTTAGAGGATCAGTGGAATCTCGACAAAAAACAGATTGTAAGTTGACTTCTCACTTCGTAAACAAAATTTGAAGCCTACATCGACAAAGCAAGCAATTTTGTTCAGTCTTCGATTGCTGTAATTTCAGGAGTTGAAAGGTGGTAACATTGTTGAAGAAGAAAGCAAAAAGTCGCTGAAACTGCAGGCATTTAGGCCTCAGACAAGCAGTGTGAGCGAGTTGAAGTCAATGGTCAAGACACTTAACGATGAAGTAGATTCAAAAAAAGGAGCTGTCTCCGACCTTATGGAGCAGTCTAAGGAGCTACTCTCACAACTCACGGTAGGTCGCCTGAAGAAACTGTAAAGTATCTGTCTCAAAAAGGGAAAAAGCATTTTATTTGGCTTGAGGTGGGTTAAATGATTAATTTGTTTATAATCAAATTCACAGTTGTTACGGAAGAAGAAGATGACGCATAGAGGTCGCTAAAGAGTCTGCTGCTGTGGCGGCTGAGGAGGGATAAACCGTCTGACAGCACTGTATGAAGCGAAGAGCCAGATCAAGCCACCGAGTTTCTAAATTAAGCCATTCTGTCAATCCACGGTCAAATATAGTGGCATCTCTATTTTTCATAAATTTTTTTCTCGCTAGTGAGGGCGGTTTTGAAAAACAGCACTTTAATGAGTTTTGGGAGGAATGAGCAGTAAGGAAGAGGAGAAAGCGGGGTGGAACTGGTCCAGGTCAGTAGAAAGAAGGTATGCTGGTATGATTTAAAGAATTTTTGCTTGCATAGTTGACCCTTTTTTTGAACGAAAAATCCCTTGTGTAAAAAAAAATTTTTTAATGAAGTTGTCGTGGGGTTTTGTTCTTAACATTCTCTTTTCGCCCATTGCATGCCTCTTCATGAATATTATGAAAATAGGAAGGTACCAGTAAGCCTATAAGAACTTCTTCGTACTGCACTGTTTAGCAAAAATTGTTTGATTCTTTCTTGCCATGTTTATCCTCCTCATAGCTTATATTTTGAAAGAAATATAACTTTCGCTGTTTCCTCCGCTAAATTTCATTCCTGCTTCCTACCTCAGCTCATTCAAAAGATTTATTACTATTGGTATTCCGATGAAAGGACGAATTTGCGCAACACTTTATAATTCAAATGAAGAACAAGCGGTGCAGGAAACCAGGGCATGAAAGTGGGTAAGATGTATAGGCCTTTACATTTCCAAACTACCTTGAATGATTTCAACAAGAAAAAAAAGCTTATCTGTTGAAAAAACTCCAACTCCTAGAACGTAAGTTTGATACAGATATAGTCCCGGAACAGTATTCGTACTTTCAGTATGCTCGTTTTGAAAATACCGTATAGTCATTAGAATGTTCTAGGAACGAGCAACTAAACTATACCAGTCCAACTAGGGGACATCCATTGTTTCTATAAGCTACATTTTGCTATTTGGGTTAGTCACTGTTTTTTTTGAAGGTATGCCGCAGTTCCGGAAGGTTTTGTGTTTATCTGGGATATTCATTTCAGAATCATTCTATGCTTATCAGAAGACGTTAAGAACGAACTACTCAAATTCTGTAGTTTGTCTGGAAGTAGTAGGCTGACTTTTTAAATTATGTCTTTTTTGTGTTCTTTAAGAACTTTGTGCAACCAGAGTGTTCATTCCAGAATCGGCCCCTACTTAATTCCGAGAACGAAGTACCACATTCTGCTGGTTTGAACGGAAATTAAGGGTCGATTTTTAAAACAAATGTTTTTTTTTGCTCTGGTTTCTGTTTTATGGAAGGGTGTGAACTTTCTAGTGTTATTTGCATTATGTGGTAGCGTGCTGAAAACTCCATCTTTAATGGTCCTAAAAAAAAAACAGAAAAGGCAAAGAAGAACAATTGACTTGAAGAACCAACTCACACTAAACACAGTTGAGTTGTATGTTTTTGGAACTCTCTGATAAGTATCCCAAAATGAACATCTTGGATAACAAAGAAACATGCCATAGCCATGAGGAGCTTCTGTGGAAACGCGGACTAGCTCAAAAAACGATATTTAGCTCCCGGCTGAACTAGCACAACTCAGCTGCTTGTTATTAGAGCATTTTGAAAGATTAAAGGATTTTTCCAGAGTGGACATCCAGAATGGATGAAAGTCGTCCTAGAACCATATCCATGTCAATCTTCGTGTCTGAGGGGTTGGAATTCTTACAGCAAACATGTGTTTTGTGTCAGCGAGATTTTCAGAAGTGATCTGACAGTGTAAGGACCCACAGATGGTTTTACTGCG